TTCCTAATACCAAGCCCAAAAGGATATATAATATGTCACCAATTGCTATTATGAGAAAGAAAAAAGTAAACATAAAAGTATTATATATTTTGACTCTAAATAACACTTATTGAGAACTTTAAATTAGAGAAATTCTAGAAACAGTCCCAGAAGATGACACCTGCAACACTCTATGAAGATTCTAAATTCTATTTTTTCAGTAGTTACTTCTGAATCATATCTTCTGGGAACTATGGCTCAGACTTTTTGCAAAAATTAGGTTTGAAAAATAAAAAAATATTTACACATAATTAAAAATAAGGCCAGGAATCTAAAGAAACAAGAACAATCTGTTCAAGCCTTACAAATACCTTTTTTTATTTTTTTAATCCTCACCAGAGGATATGTTTTTATTGATTTGAGAGAGAGAGAGAAACATCCATATGAGAAACATTGATTGGCTGCCTCCCATATGTGTCCCAACAAGGGATCAAGCCACCAACCTAGGCATGCGCCCTAAGAGGGAATTGAGCCCACAACCTTTTGGTGTCTGGGACAATACTCCAACCAATTAAGCCACCCAGCCAGGGCAACCCTTACAAATATCTTAAATCCTAGATTCAAAAGTTGTATTGTAGGTAACAATGCCACTGCTTTCATTAGATTATAAAACTAGCAGCTTAAATTGTGGAAGACCCCTTTCAAATGTTGCAACTAACAGAATATCAGGAATATGGACAGGGATCCTATTACAGCAATATTTCAGTACATGGTAACAATGCTTCCTCTTGCTTCTCATTTCAGATTCCTTTGTCTTCTGAAGCTAGCTTTACTGTTGTAATTCCTATTTATATGCATGGTATATAACTGGCAGATAATGATTATCAGCTCAATGAACAAATTTAAAAAATGAAAACTTGAACCATACATCAAATCACAAAATAAACAGAGAACTCTAAATCTCAGTAAATCTACTTCTTAATATGTGATTTTTTTTAATGAAGCAACAGAAACTTCTGATAATAAATACATAACTAAAAATGCTGCTTATAAATAATTAAAAACACAAAATGTATACTCCACCACTGGCTGAAGTATAAATCAATGTACTCTTTTTGAAAGGCACTTTGGCAACATCTACCAAAATTTTAATGTGCATATTCTTTGATCCAGCAATTGTATTGTGAGAAATATATCTCATGGACATATTTGCATAAAATTATATAAGATGAATATAAGGATATTCACACCTAAGCCCAATTTATAGTAGCAAAATAATAATTACAACAATAGCTTAATACCCCATCAATACAAGACACTGGTTCAATAAACTGTGGCGAATCTATCAATGGAATATTCATAGCCTTCAAAATAGAAGAGGGTCACTCCTCAACTGAACTCATACTAAATTCCAAAAGACATTTCTCATATGGATTCTTCTATAAGGGCTACTTAATGACATGAGACAAAATACACCAAATGCATAATTGCTTTTTGTGTGATTTTTTTTTCTAAAGCCTAGAGCAAAACATAGCCCAATAAGGCCTGTAAAAGGCTAATTTATTTAGTCCAATGCGTAGCTTCCTGTGAATTAACTTTATAGGAGGATACGTTTGAATATCTAGAAGAATAAATGAAAAGCACTTATTCATTCATTCATTCATACACTCATCCTATATTTACTGAGCACCTACTATGTATCAGGGACTGTGTTCCAGATACTGGGAATAGAGCAGTGAATATAAAGTCTCAAACCTCATGGAGTTTACATTCTAATAGAGGCAAATAATAAGCAAATAAACCAGAAAATATTCATTGTAATTCTTGCTACTTAGAAATACAAAGCAGTATGAGGGTATATGTAGAGTGGTCAGATAAGGACTCACCAAAAAGGTAACATTTAAGTATAAAACTAAAGAAAGTAAGGGAGCAAGCTATGTAGAAGAGAAGAACTATCCAGGTTCAAAGGTGTGAAGCAGTCTTGTGCTTAAACTGGCATGATTGAGGAATAACATCAAGTCCAGTGTGATGATGAAGATGTAAGGAAGTGAGTGGTAAGAGATGAGATCAGAGAGACAATCAGGAGATCATGCAGGACCTAGATAATTGTAAGGACTTTGGCTTTTACTTTGAGTAAGATGAACAATCACTAGAAGGTGTTGAACTGAAGATTGCTGGAATCTGACTGACATTTTAAAGGATTACAAACAACCATACAGAGATTAGATTGTAAAGATAGAAGGGTGGAAACAAGAGAACTAGTTAGAAGAATTTTGCAAGAATCCAGGCAAGAAGTGATAATGGTCTGGACCAGAGTGGAAGTGAGGGAGGTGGTAGGAAATCAGACTCTGGCTATATTTTTAAGGTAGGGCAAAAGGATTTGCTAATAACTGGATATGGATACAGGAAAAAGAGAGGACTCCAAACACAGAATGAGAGGACTGCCATTTACCAAAATGGGATGAGCAGGTTTTGGTGGGAGGAGGGAGACTCAGGAGTCTTTAGATGCTCTTCTCCAGTCATTACTTCTCTGTCAGACTTCTGACAGGAAATGAATAGCAGACAACTCTGCTCTCCTTTTAAAGGCCTGGAGTTGCAAGGTACAGCTATATTCTTTGAAACCAGACAAGCAGGTTCTATTGAAACACTGAGAAGCCCAATTTTGAAGGCTACCCCATCTCTTTTGTGGACACAGGTGAGAGAAGTATGTACAAATCAATATCATCTTTGTTAACACCTTCCTGCAGGCCTGTAATATCAAGGTGTTAAGAAATTGGTAGAGCCTGGCCAGTTTGGCTCAGCGTCGGCCTGCAGTCCGGAGAGACCTGGGTTCGGTTCCCGCTAAGGGCATGTACTTCGGTTGCAGTTTGTCCCCGGCCCTGGTTGGTCGTGTGGGTGGCAGCCACTCGATGTGTCCCTTCACGTCAATGTTTCTCTCTCTCACTCTCCCTTCCTCTCTCTCCCTCCCACTCTATCTGTACAAAAAAAAAAAAAAAAAAAGGAAAAATATCCTCGGGTGAGGATAAAAAATAATAATAATAAGTTTTTTAAGAAGGTAAGAAAAGCCATCCAATTAGAGCAGTATTATCTTCTGAAAATTTACTGAGACATGAGTGACATGAAAGAGCCACTGCCAGCAGGAGTCCTTTAAAATCTCAGCAACTATGGCTAAACATTCAGGAGATTAAAAATAAGCATGCAGGCCACTTATACTTAATATAAGTAGGAAAGTAGAATAACATTAATGAGCAAATCAAAAACAAAACATCTCAAGGATTATGCATACCTAGTTTCTTCACATCTTTATTCATGGAGAAATATACTAATATTCCAGAAAGAAATTTGGGGAGGAAATCAATGAAATTAAATTTAAAACAAAAACATTATTCATTTCTTTTACAGAGAATAATAAATATGACAGTTCCTTACAGAAGCAAGGAAATAGAATCTACAACATTAAAAACCTTAAAATATCAAATATCCTTTGATTTAATCACATTATATCTTTTCAAAAAGGTAACTAAAACACTTTGAAAAGGGCTCAACCCCAGTTGAATGGAAACAAAATCAGTCAGTAATAGGCCTGCCTTGGGTGCTACATTTGCGCAGGGAAGGTGCTGCCTCATTAAGATACTATCCTTACCATCATTTAGATCAATTGACTTTCTGCTGCTGACTCATAAGCCATACCACTCTTAAGACTGGGCAAACCATTAGCACATTCCCACTCCTTAACTGTCACTAGTTAGGTGCCCTAGCAGAACTTAATGGATCCTACCAGAATAAAGATTTAAGAAGCAAGTTGTTTAAATGAAAAACTAGAGTATCTTTTGAAAAATGGGAATGCTCTGCATCAGTCTTAAGAATCAGCATAAAACAAAAAGGAGTTAATAGAGCAGAGCCTCCCAGTGAGACATCTCTCAGTACAGTCTTGGCAACTGACTGTGTTAGTTTGAGAAAGTTCCTTTTCCTTTACCTCATACACTTTCTGATTTCTAAAATTTTAAAAATGTATTATGCAGATTAATTGAGGTGCCATATGTAAAATACTATTTACAATCAAAATAACAAAATTGTACATTAAGATAAAAATCTCTAAATAGATATTAAAAGGGTAAATAAGGGAACATGACCAAAAGCACGTTTTAAAAGAATAATGTAAAAGAAAAGATATGATTTCTGTTTTCAATATCTATCTCATATAATATAAAACCTTTTCTAACAAGGCAAAAACAAGTGAATAAAGATATTGACAGAAACCTTTACAGATAATTTTTCAAAGTGATACACACTGATGAAACTGATAAATGAACTTGACAAAAGGCCTCCACCTCGGGAATACAAGCTCCATTAGTACATATTGACCATGTCTACCTTATTCACTTCTTTATCCTTGGCATACAATAGGCTCTCAATAGCCCAGCCAGTGTGGCTCAATGGTTGAGTGTCAACCCATGCACCAAGAGATCTCAGGTTTGATTCCTGGTCAGGGCACATGCCCAGGTTGTGGGCCAAATCCCCAGTGGAGGTCTTGCAGGAGGCAGCTAATCAAGGTTCTCTCTCATCAAGGTTTCTCTCTTTCTCTCTCCCCCCCCACACTTCCTCTCTCACTAAAATCAATAAAGAAAAAAAATTTTGTTTTAAAATAGGTTCTCAATAAAATGTGTTTAATGAATAAGATACTGATATTCATAATAATAAAAGCATACATAACTACATAGAAAACTAGTAATCTACAACAAAGCATACTGTTTTAAAAAATTAGATGTACTCCTGTTAAATTCAGAGGTATTTTTAAAAGGAAATATTACAAATTTCAATAAGCAGATAATGTTTTTAGAAAACAGTAACAAGAATTCCACTTAAACAAAATAGCTGTGTAGAAATCATCAGAAGCCACAATTCAATAATCATAAATAAGCTTTAAGTAGAGCAGATTTGTTACCACAAACATAAAATGCTATTGAGAGCACATACGAAGACAGGTCACATCAGAGGACCTTCCTTAACACAACTCTCACCTGAAAACTACTCCTGGAATATCTGACTCAGTTTTAGATACATCAACATCTGACAGCTGTAGAAAAAAAATCAAGTTCAGAAAGAAAGCAACAAAACTGATAACCAGAATAAGAAAAGATACAAACTTTCCCTGTTAGAATAAAAATAAATAAAAGTAAGTTGTAGGGTCAAAACTAAACAAAAAAATTATAAAATAGGCAAAGGAAGAGAAAGAATCATTCTCGTAACCCAAGAACCTAATGTAATACTAGTTGCATGGTTGGCACTCAATGAATAATTTGGGAATAAAGAAAAGAAACTACTCTTTTTTTCCTGAAGTCCTATAATTAATGTTTTAAAGTTTTGTATATACAGATAAAATAAATATTCCTAACTGAGAAAAATAATAATAACAAAAAAAATTAAAATTCTTAGGATAAGCTATATAGTAAATAGCAAGGATATAAAATGTATTCCTGTCATTTTAATAAAATAATAGTAACTCAATATGGAATCATTTACCAATGAGCAGTAACAACTATCTTCTTTCCTCTTCTGTATTCCAAAAACAAAATGAACATTGATCTTACAAGTAAAATACATAACAATACTCCTTAATTGCACTTAAAAAAGAAATTCAACATTGCTTCCCAATAAAGATTTTAAAATAATTCAAGATTTTAAAGAATTGTCTTTAATAAGTTTTTTAAAGATTAGATACTTTATATTGATTAATTCTGTGGAATTTAAGGAATTATAAACATAGCTTCTAAAATATATATAATCACATTAACAAAGTTATCCAAATTCTAGACAATAAACAATCAATGAATTTTCAGTCCAACCAGGTAAATCTATCCTTAAAACAGCAGACCTCAGGCTTTCTTCTTTAGGACAAAGCTTCTATTTATTTCATAATTAAATTTGAAATACTTTATGTAAAGATTCAGCAAGGACTCTTCTAAAACATGCAAAGCCATTTTCAGGACACAAAATGAAAATGGTTCTGAGTTTTAATTCATATCTTCTTTTACTAGGATACAAAGGAAAACTGTGATGACAACTGAAGAATTATTTTCCACCTTACTGAAGAGGCATGTTTTAAAAGTAAAAACCATGAATAAATCTATCTACAAAATAATTCATTTTTATATCAAACAGCTGCAGACCCTGTAATTGAAATAATGTATCTAAGGTTACAAATGAAAAGTGTTAGGTATCATTCTTGAAGTGACAGATTAAGTACCTAATCCAGTTAAAGTAATAGCCATATTTGTAGTTTAACATAAATTAAGACCTTAATTATATTTGTGACTCTTTTAAACAAAATAACAAACTCCTTTGTACCTGGAAATGTAATTTATAGAAAAGCCAGGTTCATTTTCCAAACCAATCTATTTCACACTGTAGAAGTACTTTGGTATAATGTAATTCTTGTTGTAGAATGTTGAAAGGGTAGATTCACTAAAAGCACAGAAGAGGGTTGAAGATAAATGAAGATGCTATTCATTCAAGGGTAATTTCATCTTAGAACTATATGAAAGATGTTTCACTCACACAGGGTAGTGTATGGCTTCAAATTTAAGTGTATTTTCAGCTCAAATATAATGCTGCTAGATCGATTATGTTGATACTGTATATCTAATAATGAAGAATTCTAGCCTTTTTCTGTTTAAAAAATAGACTGTCATTTTTTTCATCTTACTGTTATGTCTTTATTGCTCTGTTTAACAGCAACACATTTTAAAATACTGTTTGCTATTTACTTTTTAAACAGAAAAGTATAGAGTTGATATTCTAACTTGCGATCTCTCAGAACCACAGGAGTACAAATTTTTGCTAAGTTAAATAGATATTTATATTAGGAAATCATTATCCTTTTTAATCATTTTATAGTATTTCACTAATTGGCAACTCTAATCACCACCTAATTCTATTTTGAATATTCTTCATTTTCACTAATCTGGTAAGACTAATTTAAATATTTTATATAACCATAGCATTTGTATGACAGAATAATATTAACAATGAAAAGCTTTTAATCTGCTAAATTCTGTTTGCAATTTAAGTTTTACATATTTCAATCATTCCAGGTATTATAAGCATAAATCATAAAAATGCTTTCATACTTTTGATATATAAAAACTGATGAGGATATACATATGTTCAATCTGAAAAACTGTAGTTCAGTGATATCAAGGAAACATTGCTCACTTTAGAATACTGAAAAGGATTTACAAGTCCCCTTTATAATAAATGTTCACTAAATTATCTCTATCCCTTAGATTTCCTTTCCTTCTCCTAATCCTAAAAGTGAATACAAAAGCATCATTTTGCAGAGGACGAACAAAGTAGGAGGGATGAACAACATTAAAAAACTAAAATTTGGCCCTGGCCTGTGTAGCTCAGTGGTTAGAGTGTTGGTCTGCACACGGAAGGGTCACAGGTTCAATTCCCAGTCAAGGGCATGTACCTGGGTTGTAGGTTCGATCCCAGCAGGTCAGGACCTGTGTGGGAGGCAACCAATCGATGTGATTCCTTCTCAACAATGTTTCTCTCTCCCTCTCTCTCTTTCTCTCTCTCTCTCTCTTCCGCACTCCCTTCCACTCTCTCTAAAAATTAATGGAAAAATAACCTCAGGTGAGGATTAACAAAAAAAAATTATAATTTGGCCCCTGGCCTGGTAGCTCAGAGTATCATACCAATATGCCAAAGTTGAGGGTTTGATCTCCGGTGAGGGCGCATACAAGAAGCAACCAATGAATACATAAATAAGTGAAACAACAAATCTGTGTTTCTTTCTCTCTCTCTCTCTCTCCCCTTCTCACTCTCCTTTCCTTTCTCTCTCTAAAATAAATAAAAAATAAATTAAAATTTTCATTTTATGAAAGATATCAATTTTTAAATGTTTTCCATAATATAGTATTCTATTAATTCTCTATTAAAATATATCCACTGGTATCATCCTACTTGTATTTGCATGTTTAAATTAAACTGAGACAAAAAATTGTATACAGCCATACACAACTTGTTAAAGCAAAAATGTATCCAACTAAATTACAAATTAAAAATCATTTCCTCCAAAATTCTGCAGGTGAGCTGTACACGGTGGCCATTTCCTACACAGCATTTTCGTAATCACAATGCAGTCCCTCTGCTCTTCCTCACCACTATATCAGGGTACTACTATTTAACCACTAACTGATATGTCCACCTAACCCTGACCGGTTTGGCTCAGCAGTAACAGTATCAGCCTGCAGACTGAAGGGTCTCGGGTTCAATTCCTGGTCAAGGGCCTGGGTTTCAGGTTCGATCCCCGGCCCCAGTCAGGACTGTAGGAGAGGCAACCAATCGATATGTCTCTCTCACATCAATGTTTCTCTCTCTCTCTCTCCTTCCCTCCCTTCCACTCTATCTAAAAATCAATGGAAAATATCCTCAGGTGAGGATTAAAAAAAAAAAAAGTACACCTAAAAAGCATAATTTGCTAAAAGGAAAAAGCAAGGGTCAGCTATCAGCAGATCTGACATGTTAGTGTTCATGACCCAGCATTAATGGGGCCTATAAAAATGGTGACTTTTTAATGATAAAATATATTCAACAGAAAGAATATTGTTTTTTCCTACTGCCTTACCTTTAGTTTTTAGAGATAAAGTATTTATTCAAAAATAGAAAGGGAAAAATGAGAATATTACATGGAATAAGAATATTTCCCTTAATCTGAGCTTAACTGTTATTCTTACTTGAAGGAAAAACTTAGATTACTCTTTCATGCAACATTCTCAAAATAATCATCAGCTTGAGACACTCTCTAAAAATAAATTCAAACTTTTACAATATTTAGATTAACCCATACAAAAGAAAAACAGGTTTCTTTTTAAATTAGCTCTTAAATACTAAACAAAATCCTCTCTAAAAGTGACCAGAAATGAACATAAAGACATTTAAAAAATATGTATATAAATCTTTGAAGTCAAAATAGGCACTAATTCAGCATTTAACATCCTATGTTTTTATTGCTTTTACTTTTTTCAAAAGAATTTCCCATTTACTACCAAACTTGAACTTCATAATAACTCATAATATAGGTAAGACTTGCCTTTGTCACATTTCAAAGATGCAAAAACTAAGACATGTTTATCTTTCACATCTTAATGTAATCTATAAGATATAATCTTCTAGGAATCAAAAATAATTTTGAATTAAAAGTCCACTTATTTTTTAATCAAAATTCAAAGATCTGTATCACTGTATTTAACTGATATGCAGCAAAGTGTTATAAGTGTGAATTCTCAACTCAGACTCTCTGCTCTGGGTCTGTATTCTAGCTCTGCCAAATACTACTTATATAACTTTGAGCCAACTGCTTATATTCTCTGCCTCAGCTTCCTAATCTGTAAAATGAGAATAATAATACTACCTACCTCACAGGGTTGCTATGTGAGGATTATCTATGATACCTAAGGGGCATATACAAGACCTAGCACACAGAATAAGCTGTGTAAATTCTAGCTACATTATCATTACTGCTCTTACTAATATTATTTACAGAATGGGAATAATAACAGCACCTACCTTATACAGCTATTATAAGGATTAAATGAGTTAATAAGAATTAAGTGCTCAGCACAGTGATGAGTGCATGGTATGCACTCACCCAACACGGTTGTCTGTTTCTGGGCTCTATGACCTTGAATAGACTTTTCTAAGCTTCAATTTCCACATCTTTAAAATGAGGTTATCTTAAAGCAGTGTTATGGTAAGGACTGAATGATAAACTTTACATAAAAGCTCTATGCCTTTCACAATAAAAGCATTCAATAAATATTCAATTTTAAAATAAATCTTATTCAGTATTACTAAAATAATACTTTGATTTGAAGCATTCAATTTTGGGGGTATGGAATAAAGCATGCATGATTACAAAAATTATTGATGTTCACATAAATTAAAATATGTACTAACATTTGCTTTAACAACTTCGGTGATTTTAGGCATTATAATAAAGCCTGCAAGCTTCCATTCCTCCTTCTGATATTGATTATGTGCATTTCTCTCAAAGAATCAGAACAGAAGAAAACAATAACCAACACGCAGTGCACATTTATAATATGCCAACTACTTTTTCTAAGTGCTTTATACATTAACACATTCAATCCTCATGACACCCAAGAGGATAGCTTCTGTTATATCTCCATCATCTATTATATCTTACAGATGAGGAAACTTGAAACAAAGAGTACTGTTTAAGGTATGCTGTATTTGGAACAGAGACCAACTGCCCATTTCAACTGCTGTAAAATAGCATTTGATGAAAATCAAATAAAACAATTTTTTTTTTTGCAGAAAACTTGTAAGTAGAGTTCATAAGTGTTTGTTCATACTGTATTTCTAGACATGTGTTGTCAATACAAGAGCCACTAGCTAAATGTAGTTAGTAAGCACTTGAAATGTGACTAGCACAAACTGTGATGTGCTATAAGTGTAAAATACACATGAGATTCTAAACTTAATATAAAAAATGTAACATCCCATTAATAAATTCTGCATTGATTACATGTTAAAATGATATTTGGATACACTGGGTTAAATAAAATATATTATTAAAATTAATTTCACCTGTTTCTTTTTACTTTTTTAATGGGGCTATTTCAAAATTTTAAACTACGTATGTGGTCCACATTATATACATTATATATCTATTAAATAGTTGGTTTAGGTTTAGGGGTGAGAGTAGTAACAGAAAATTATTATCAAAGTTCTTTTACCAATCAATATAAGCTTAAGTCCTTCAAAGTGGAAGTATTATGAAATGTAAGGTTTCTCTCTCACTCTGTGTGTGTGTGTGTGTGTGTGTGTGTGTGTGTGTACTATGTATCATGAAAATTAGAGGAACACACACTACACTAGTACTTCACTATATTCAACACACAAGATTATTTTATGACCAGGCAAACACTTGAGGTAATACCAATACTGTGTAGGAAAGGAAAGCAAATCTAAGAGGAAATAACAGCCATGAGAAAAAAAAAAAATTATTTTCTTTTAAACTGAAATTATAAAGGTTCCTTTAATCAAAAAAGATCTAACCACTTAGTTTCAGGGGTATAATAAATGCCAAGTCTATGTAGTAAGTAAAATTTAAATTTCCTGATGGTTTAACTAGCAGACTATTAAAATATCTGATGTTTCATATCTGGTATCTTGTAGAAAATATCTAGTTTACGGATACCTGTCACATTGTTTTGAACAATTTTATACATTTAACTGATTCTTCTAAACGGATACTGGTCCACTATATAGATGAAAATTACTCCATAAAGTTTACATCAGATATCTGGAAAAGTCACATTTATAGTCATGGCTACTATCAGCTGTCAAGCCAAAGAATATTGAAGAAAACCAAGAATTTTTAATATATGCTGGTTAATTTATCATCTAAGTGACATATGTAGGATAAAAAAAATTGAAAATGGTTAAGTAAAATTCTGCATTTTGAAGAGTTCTTTTTTTCTGGTTTTATTTTTAATTTCAACTATGATTTGAGAAGCCATGGTGAGAAAGCAAATTAACAGGAACCATAAAAATAAAGTTGCTAAATAAAGTACATGCTAAGATAGCTTTTTCCCTTCCACAGATTATTTAAAGCATTAATTTTTTATCTGTAATATACCAATATTTTAGTTTGTAATGAAAACTCGTTAAACCATCTATTCCAGGGTTTCTCAACATTGACACTATTTACATTTGGGGCTGGGTAATTCTTTATTGTGGAAAGACTGTCCTATGCCTTGTAAGATGTTTAAAAGCATCCCTGCCATCTACCCAATAGATGCCAATAGCACCTTCCCCAGCAGTTGAGACAACCAAAAATGTCCAAACATGGTCAAATGTCCTCTGTAGGGTAGAAATCTCCCTTAGTTAAGAACACTGATATATTCATACCCAAAATACCTTCCTACTTAGTGAAAATTACTTCAGTACTTCCTAAACTACTCTTGGTAGTGGATATCCAGACAGTTTCAACAGACAGATCATATGCAACCATATGCAAAATAGTCTGGGTATGTTTTTATTTGTGTGTGTATACTAGAATGTGTTTCATCAGATCTTGAAAGAGCTATCCCAAAAATGGCAATTAAAAAATTAAGAATTAGTGCTTCAACTAAAATATTCGCTGTCTATTCAAGGCTATAAAGATTGAAAATATGAGTTTATACACAGCAAATAATTTACTGATGCTATCAATTATCAGACAAGATGCTTTTATCACACTTATGAACCCTTCATTCAACATTTACTGAGTACATTTCTATATTCTAGGCATTATGTTATTAGTATTTGAAAATTAAACTTAAATTCCATCTTTATCACCAAAAACAAATAATTTTTTAAAAATTTAAATAACAGTATAAAATCCATATTCGTTGCCTATAACCAACTAAAAATTCTGCTTCTCAAAAGTTAACATAAGAAAATACAGTAATTATAATACTAGTGCCTAAAAATGAAATAAAGGAAAATAAAAAAAACATAATTTATATTCTTGTTAAAAAGCTATAAATCCTCTAAAAGAAAGAAATTTAAAGATACTCAGACTCATATGAATAAATTATTGTCCAACACATTTCTTTCCATTTCTCCTCCTTTCCCTGCCTTAAACAAAATACAAATGTATTGAATGACATACCATGTATCAGACATGGTTATTAATCCCAGAGAATATCAAGTTGAATTAAAAAATATAATTAGATAACCAAGTGCCTACCATCATGCCTAGAACACAGCAAAAGTTTACAGTTCCTTTCCTTCCCTTTCTGTCCTCAAGATGCTCACAGTCTCATCTTTAATAAATATCACATGTCTTTCATTTCTCTTTTAAGTTATCTTTTAGATGCTGGGGGAAAAAAATTCCTCTAACAATAAACAGCAGATAAGTATGTAAAATGTTTGAATAATTATAATTCTATAATCTACATAAACATTTCTCTCTCTCTCTCTTTTTCAAGCAAACCCCAAGTATCCTATTTTTCCTACAAGTGCAGTTTAAAGTTTACAGGGCCACTAATTGTTTTTTTGGATTACAAAACTGTGATATACAACTTAAAGAAATATTGCATTCAATAAGTGGTTTGGGGATAATAGATACTAATGTAATCAATAAATGCATATAAAAAATGACTAGAGAAGAATATGTCCGCTTTAATATTACCAAATAGATTAATGCTAGAATGAGTACAATGAGAAAATGATGCTTTAAAATATGTGAATAAATCTTTACAAGTAAGTCAGAAAATAACTCTGTGTCCAAAAGTGAACATATCACCCCCCAGAAAATCAACACCATCATATCTAGCCAAAAGCAAACTAAGAAACAGAAGTGATTTTTTATAAAAACAACAAATGAAAATGTTTATTTTATATACTGACAACAATTAACTGAACAATATTACATAATAACATAACCCTTCACAGAAGAGATGTTATGTTGATCATTATAAATCACACAGAAAAATTCTAAACAGACTGCATCAAATTATCTGGGGGGTGGGGAGGTGCAACTCAAAGTGAAAAAAATATTACATTATTTATATATTTACCTGCACAGCAAGAGAAGCTGCATTGTCAGAAAGCAAAATTTGCTCCCCTGTGGAAATACAATAAAAGGTTTGAGTCAAAAGTGTGGATGCTAAAGAAGTAAGATATACTTATATTTTTATTTTTAAAAACTATTCCTAATTTTAAAAAGATATAGCCTTTCACTAACATAATTATGAAGTTCTATATCGACACTATTGTGTAATTATAATTTAAATCATATTATCATATGTAGATAATGATAAAACAAGACTATTTCTTCTAAAACAGATCATTTATCATGTTATCAGCAATATGTAATTAAAATCTCTCATTTAAAAACAAATTCATTTTTCAAATTTTCAAGATATTAAGTATATTTTAAAATTAAGTACTATTTGTATCTAGTCAAACCTCTCTAGTTAAAAGTAAAACCATTTGAAATCATATAAAACCAGCTTGCAGTTAATATTGCACAGTGTGTCTAGGTCTGTCACACAAAAGAAAGATGACAAGTTCGCTGCAATAAAAATTCCATGCTTAGAAGACTAGGGCTGCTGCCTATTAGTCTTCATTACTTTGCAGTCTTCTGACAACTGTAGCAGGCTGCTGAGCCCCAAATGGGGTCCATAATGTGATCTGATGATATATGAAGAGCTGCTAAAGGGAGCCTGAACCATCCTAGCCTATACATTTTAACAGTTCCTTTTTACTGAGAGCCCACTTTACCACAGGACTTCAAAAATCTGCTGTGTCAGCTATTGGTGCAGTAAATCTGCCAACTGCTCCTGCAACCACATCATTTTACACTGCCTACAGCAGCCAATATAATGAGTCAATAATAAACTAAGGACCTTATAGGCCATGAAGAGCTGGTTTACACTGGCAGATACAAGTTTAGGCAAAATCTCCTGGACAAATTACACAAGGGAATCCCTTTTTTTTTTTTTTTCGTATGTTTTATGTTCCCTTGCAGTAAGTTATATTATTGAGGGATATTTTTCTTGATAATAAATATATTTTGATGCAAAGTCATTTTTAATTGTGAACAAACTCCTACCTTTCAGTTGTTGATATAATGTAGCATTTTCAGGCCAAGGTTCTGCAGCTGTGGAAACAAGGCAGTGATAATTAGGTACATATAGCAAAAACATGAATAACCCACCAAATTAAATAAGCACATGCACTGGCCTAGAGCACCCAAAGTCAATTGCCAAGGTACCCTAACTGTGGCAACTAATCACACTACCTTAGATTCTGTGGTAACCTGTATAAGTAGGTTAGATAATGTTTTAAATGCATGTTTGGTTTATTGTTTGGTGGTAATTTGTTTTTGTTTTTTATGGGAAGGAGGTGGAAGATCAATCAAAAGTGAGAATTTAAAAAATAAAAGATCCGCCCTGGCCAGTTTGGCTTAGCAGTTAGAGAATCGGCCTGTGGTCCAGGGAGACCCAGGTTTGGTTTCCACTAAGGGCACGTACCTCGGTTGCAGTTTGTCCCCAGCCCTGGTTGGGTCATGCGGAAGGCAGCCACTCAATGTGTCTCTTTCACGTCGATGTTTCTCTCTCTCTCTCTCTCTTCCTATCTCTTCCTCCCACTCTATCTGAGCAAAAAATGGAAAAATGTCCTTGGATGAGGATAAAAAAATAATAATAATAAAAGATCCTATATGCTACTATTCCTTTAGCCTCCTTCAAATACAGACATATCCAAAATGTTACTCCTACATATAAAAAGATATTAAATTTTAATTCACTATAAAAACAATAGTGAAACAATATTTATAATATTTTACTATAAATGTTTAACAAAGTACAGACAACACTGCATAAAATAATCAAATATATCTGTATGATGCTGTGCATGTTGCCTTATAAGCTGGTAGCATTTAAACATACAGTGGAATCCTGTTGTATTCTAGAACATTTCATTGCCTTTACCCCACCACCACCACCCCACAAAATCCAAGGGGTAGATAGTAGCATGATGAAGCAGTAAGTTCCTACAATGTCAAATAAAACTGGTAAAGCTAATTTTAGGCCTAACATCAGGGTTGACCTTGACTCTTAACCGTTCATCTACAGAATACTCTAGTAGCTACAAAGAAAATATTAGCAACCCATCAGTGCTTGGAAAAAGCACTAGATTTAAATTTTGTCTAAACTGCACTTAAGAAACAATGTCTCCACTGATGGAATATACAGAACATTATTTGTTGAATTTTCCTTTATAAAAGCTGTAAAACATCAGAATCACCAATTCTCACATGGTAAATATATCTGCTCTCAGGAAAAAAGCAAATTAAATATATGAAATTTAGTAATAATTAGTATTTTCTTATTCTGTTTAATACAGTTTCTGTGACACGGCAAGAAATTATTTTTTAATATATAACTCTAGCTGATTTTTTAAAGAATGTTTATATGAGAAGCATTTGTTTTCTTATGAATGATCATTTAAGATGCATTAAAACAGTTCCAGTGATAAGGGAAGCCCTAAAATTTGCTTTTATTTACACTTTAGAATGAAAAGAAAAATATACTGGTAGTATTATAAATTATAAATGCTATTTTTACTTTGGTTTGGTTTGGGCTACACAAAATTAAATTCATACTTAAGGATAATACCATGAAATCATCAAGTAAATAATGAACCGTACATAGTTTTGCATGCTGTTACCCACAATATTTTATATATATATATATATATGAAGGTTCCTGAGTTTCAACTCACATACCCAAAAGGCAGTGAAACAAAATATTTACTATGTTACTGTAAACTTTTTAACAAAGTGAAACTTCAGTAAGAACCCAATTAACCTGTGTAACACAGTTTTATAAAAGTAAGGGAAACAAAAACAAGCTGACATCAGCAAATTACTCAAAAATAACCTTTTAGGATAAATTGTATGGTCAGCACACCTACACTGTTTACATCTGTAGGGGAAACAATACAATGAGGTTCATTATAAGATCCTGCATCATCAAAGATTCAATTGTATGTACTATATTAATATTATTAAAGCAATAAAGTATAGAAACACATTTTACAAAAATTCCAAAGATACTGAAACTAAGTTCCTTAAGGACACAGATGTGTTGTATGCATCTTGTGTACCATGCTGTGCATATAACTGGCAAATCAAAATTTTACTGAACTTAATATTATCAACTATGTTAAAGTAATGGGTGCTCTAATTAAATAGTCTGGTAATTTTAACTGTTGGTTAATCTGTTTTGTACAGATTAAAAAAATTTTAAACAATGGAATAGCATTCCCTTAGCACTAAATACATGCTGAATATAATTTAAGTGTTCTTTGATAAATCAGAAACTATTTCACTACTCTACAGTATCAAGAGTTCTCATATAAACAGTAATTTATGTGTTCAGTAATTCAAGTTAAGAGTTAATTTATCATCACCCCCATGGATTCTCTAGATCTATTACAACAAACATATGTAAAAGTAAAAGAAATCTTGCAACATATTACATGACTACAAATAAGAATAAAGAAGTTGCCTACAAATACAAAAGTTCGGGTATTAAGGACCTAAATGCTGAAAACAGGTGAAAATGCTATGCTTTTCTTGATCTAAGATGCAAACTATGTTCCAACTCAAAAATTATTATTGAAAATAAATTCTCAGAAAGCAACTGCCAAAACGTCTGATGCTATCTTCACAAATAGAACCTACCATTTAAAAAGAGAAGGTAAGGCCCTGGCCAGTTTGGCTCAGCGGTTAGAGCGTCGGCCTGCGGTACAGAGAGACCTGGGTTCGGTTCCCGCTAAGGGCACGTACTTCGGTTGCAGTTTGTCCCCGGCCCTGGTTGGTCGTGCGGGTGGCAGCCACTCGATGTGTCCCTTCACGTCGATGTTTCTCTCTCTCTCCCCTTCCTCTCTCTCCCTCCCACTCTATCTGTACAAAAAATGGAAAAATATCCTCGGGTGAGGATAAAAAAAAAAAAAAAAGAGAAGGTAAGGAAGTTATTTTAACAGCCTAGAATTCCAGTGCATCCATAGACCAGGAGGCAAGAAATGGTAGAGGAGGCAGAGATTGGTCAGCTATCTATCTCACCCATAAGCAGCTCAGAGTATACAAATATCGCTGATTTAAATGTGTCACCCACTTAAACCAGCTCAAATAATTACATTTTACGCATGACATGGGACAAGAAATGGCTAGTGTGGTAATCGACAGAGTGACCAAAATGAAAACCCTAAATTATGTGGATCGACAAATCAACCATGCAGATTTTTATCTAGGAAATGAGCTCTATAACTCCCTTCATAAATAAGTCCATGAATGATGAACATTATTATCCATACAAAACAAAGTGCAAAGCCTACTTCTTGGTTTGGGTAATATTAATTCAAACCTTTTTACTGAGAATGCCTATTATGTAAAAGACAAAATCCAATACAACTTCTTCCCCACTCCTCTTTCCCAAGGTTAGGCAAGTCAATACCCATCCTTCGTTTCTGACCATTTGTAAAAAAAGAGAGAGAGAGATGAAGAACTTAAATTATAGTGCTGACAATAGGCTTTTAAAATCTGTAGTATTTAAAAAGAAAAATATTTTTAAAACATTCATCTTGGACAAGTGTTACTTCTGTCGACCTAAAATGTTTTACACCACAGATTCTTTTTATTTTATTTTAAATGTATTGGGGTGACATTGGTTAATAAGATTACACACACACACATAAACACACACACACACACACGTAGGTTTCAAATGTAGATTTCTATGATATGTGATCTGTATATAGCATTGTGTACCCACCATTCAAAGCCAAACCATCTTCTGTCACCATATATGTGGTTCCTTTTACCCTTTACTACTGCCCAACCCGCTTTCCTCTGGTAATCATCATACTGCTAATTCAATAGTGAATAAAATTTCATAATTCATCCATCATATTTTCAATTTCTACCATCAAAGTACTCACTGATATGAAATGTCTTTTTAAACCTGCCTTAGGGAAGGGTCACCCTTAGATTAAATATAAAAGGTGAAACTAAAAGTTTCTGAAAAGAAGGCTGGTAGGAAATGGGAACTGAGAGAAAATGTTATCTAATGTTGTCCAGGTGCAAGTTACTGGTATTATTGGACATCAAAAGTAAAATTTATGCTTAACATACATCAACAATTTGTGTGGCTCTTGAAATAAAGATCAGAATCGTCAACCTGGCCTTACACATCACTATCTCTACCTCTCTGGCCTCATCGCACCTCCACTCCACTCACTCTGTACTCCAGTCACATTGTCCTACATCCAGTTCCTGAATGAATCCCGTTCTTTCCTGGGCTAGAGATTCATTTGGGCTGTTCCCCCTGCCCTGGAGCAATCTTCCCATCCTACTGTGTCCTCACATCTCTGCTCAAATATCACTTCTTGGGGTTGGGCCAATTTCATGGACATGCAACCTGAGCAGTTGCACAGGTCTGCTCTTAGAAAGGCTCCACCCTCAGATTAATGTTCTTCTATCTCAGTTCCAGAATTCTTTTGAACAAGGGGCCTCTCATTTTCATTTTGCACTGGTCCTACAGCCAGTCCTGTCCTCAGGGAAGCCTTCTTTGACCTCTCTGAATAGTTCAAACACTCTTTCCAAGCTAGAAAAGCATACACACTCTATCGACCACTTATCACAGTCAACATTTTTACACAGAAGCAAGGACTATTTGACTGTTTATCTCCCCCAACAGAGCATAAAAACATCATAAATCCAGTGTTCACGTCTGATCTTTGTTACCACTTCATCCCTAGAACTCAGCACCTAACAGGCAATCAGTAGAGGTTGGTTGAATAAATGGTCTGTATTGTTACCACTATCATTATTATTATTATTATAATTCTGTACCATTTAGACAAAGAATGCAGCAGGAAAGATTAGGAAACTACACAATATGCCCCCAAAATGGAAACTTTACCCAGAAAACTTCAATAATACAACCAATAACACAACTATAAAAACATTTATTCTGAAATAGTTGGCAGAATTTAATTCTATAAACTCACCTATACGCTGACCCCAACACTAGAAATTTGTTTCTATACTTTATATTAAATATATAGTTTTCATGATATATTACTGTTGTAACA